AAAGTATATTTGAATAAAGTTTGTTTATCTACGGCACTTAACTGTAATAATACTGTTGCCAAGATTTGTAAGGAAGTTGTTGTAACGTATTTACGGACATTTTGATAAATACAGATTTACTCACAACAAACAAACAAACAAACGAAAGAAAAAAGTTTCTATACAAAGAAAGTTAGTTACATAGATATGTCGTCGGGGTGTGCGGGGGAGGTGGCGAGCGGTGAGGGGGACGAGACGGCTCAGAGGAAAGTGACAGTCTCCTAAGTGACATTAAATCATCGCATTCAAGTTCGCCGGAGCACATCAAACGAAATATTTCTTTCTTCTATTAACTTACGATTTATCTATCATTGTGTGAGTGTACGAAAAGCTTTTTGCCGCACGTTTTATGAAATAAATCGAAAATAAATAAAATTTCCCTTGAATTTTGTCTAGACGCGAGTAGACAATAAGCATTTTGCATGAAGACATTACAAGAAAATAAACTTCAGACGCTGATTAATGGAATAGTAAATGAAGTATTAGATTAACTAGAATGTACACCGCAACGTGCTTGTGACGAAAAAACGTATTGCTTTTTATAACTTACATGTGTAGATATCACTTTGGTGTAAATGTTTTCATACACTTGTTGCCAAACTCTAAGGTAGTCCACAGTAGCGGGAGTGCGGGCCAGGGCGGGGTGCGGCGGAGCGGGGCGGGTCGGGGCGCTGTCTATGCGACCTACATTTGTTTTCCCTTTGTCTCGATGTGAACGTATTCGGAGCCTTTAATATGAGCTAAGCGATGTATTGATAGCTTTATGAAGGTCCGCGATAACACACACGATAAACACCAACAGAATACTGTATCCGGTACTTACGCCTTTATTTTTAAACATGATGCATATATTTGTAGCAATGTTTTGAAAAAGAATAACAAACTTAAGTTCGGGACGAGAAGTAAAATTAAACAAAAAAGTTAAGTTTTAATTTGGAATCTGAACAATATATAGAAGTAGCAATATGTACAAATTGCGTACATAAATCGCTCCAGTCCGCACCCCGCCCCCGCCCCCGATCCCCACTTCTACCCTCTAATATATTGCCCCAGAGAATTGATACAAATCTACGAGTTAATTGCGAAGGACGTTCTCCGACAATTTTTAAAAGAGTAGACAAAACCTGCAGCAGTGGAACTGTGCGGATAAAAAACCAATATCTGTCTTATTTTCATCCCCTACAATAGGACATATTCTATAATATCAAATAAGAAGCAATGTAAGAGCCAATTAAATTTTTTATCATTTATTTAGTATACAATAAAAGTATTGTAAGGATTTACATAACAACATGTGCATTATGAACGTATTACATTATAAATATTATTGTGCGCACAGACTAGAGAGAGAGGGAGCACAGAGAGTGGCGGCCGCTCTGTGCTGCTTGCTCTGTGCAATCATGTCGTGTTACGTCCAAGTAATAACGTTTTACGCACAATTTGAGCGCATTTGGTATGTTAATGCGGCAGCGGGTCTCGTTAAATCAACATTATATCACTAAAGTGTACCTTTATTTACATTTTATATATATATTTACATATATATATATTGATGAAATATATTTGTCGAGTAAAAAAGAAAGATAAGTTGGTGAAAATATATTTAAAATTACCAAGATCATACAACATAACCAACAAATAGTTTAATGTCTTCTGGTCACCATCACTTACAAACTTTATACTGAAATGTGATATACCAATGCCTAGCTTTATTTATTTAAATATAATTTCATCAGTATAGTAGATTTCCTTGTGAAACATAACTGGTGCATACGATATGTACACAAGGCAATAACAACAAGCTCTTACCGAACAGAGGCGCACTTCCGCACACAACATCGAAAGCCTTTCTAACTAATGAAACTAATATAATTCTCGCGTGTGGATCTTACATGCAAATGGCGCGAGATGAGGTCCATTTACCTATTAAGATATGTCTATGTATTATCAAGATAAACACATACCTGTTTATGTATAACTGTGATAAAGTCATGTTATTTTTATTATTATTATACATAAATGGATAAATATTTCACAGGTATAGTCTAATATTTATGTTGACGTTTATATATTATATAATGTAAACACACAGATATTAATGTATTATAATAAATCAACAGATGTCACCGCACCGGCACCGGCATTCACCTTGTTTTGTTCTGACACAAAGTTAATCAATTGCTACATAGAGAAGTTGTAAACGTAAACAAATGAATAAGTTTTGCCGGAGCGTACCTACGTTATATTATATGAAATAAATAGAACGAGATTATTGTTTAAGAAATCTTTCTGACATGCTTTGTTCATTTTAACACAAATATCAAAAATAAACTCAAACATGTACTATATTTAACCGAAGTATTTTACAATAAAACGTGCATAAAATAAACATGTATTGTCTCTCCTAAATAAAACAATAAACAGCAGAGTTGCAAATGTCAACAAATCACATCAGCTAATTGTGTCTGTGTTCCTGTCATGTTCAAACGATAATCCTTAAATTTTTTTAAACAAAAAAATGGAAGCGTTAATGAAGAAATCTATACAATCAATAAAACTAGAGTGTCTGTATGTCAAATTGGAAAAATCATACTTCGTGAAAACGCATGTGTTGCTGAAAATGAAATTTTTATAATTTTTGTCTACCTGTCGGCAAATCCGCTCTTTTCCAGGTAATCTCCGATACGACTGAACCGATTTTACGGGATTTTCACTGGGAGCATTTTTTTAAATTCCGCGCTGATGATGTCGCGGTCAACAGCTTGTATTAATATATACCTAGAAGTTCTTTTAAAGGAAACTTTAGATTGTAATTGTTATTTAAAAAAATAGAAATTAAAAAGTAAACTACACAACAAAAAGACAATAACGAAATAAGTAATAGACGTAGAAAATAGTTTATTTGCGAGGATCGATCTCGCCGTTTGTCAAATACTTCCGACTTGCGGCTTTCTCCTCGCTCCGGCTCATTCTCCGACTTCCCGGCTCACAGCGTCCCCTGGCGAGCGGCGAGCGCTACTGCCTTTCTTCTCTTTATTTCATATTGCTTGTATATATAACAAATATTCCGTGCATGCAGACCATGCATAGCGTGCACTTTTATATTTAAAACTACGGAGTTGTAAATCATACACAACATGTCTAGCTATTGGCATTCTTATTAATAAACGAAAGACTCCGTCCGCACCGCATTAAAATAAAAGTATTAAGATTATTTCTACATTTACGGCAAATTTCATAGGGATCCGTGATCCGAAGCCTCCATCCATCCATACATTTAAACATTAGCATTTATAATGTTTGTAATATAAATGTTATCCAGTAACTTCGATTAGTGCAATAGGTTCCATTAACTCCGAACAATAGTTTTTAATTGAAAATCTTAACGATATGTCCTTTTTTGCAGCATAATCAATAATTTAATGTGTTTACGCGTTAAATATAATTAATGCACATAACATAATTCATCAGATAGACAGGACACGATGGCACTGGGCAAACGTAACCTGACACATTGACACCTACACACCTACAGTGTCATATTCAATGACACCTCGCTCTGCACTATAAAACAAATAGGACATTATGTTACTGAGAAATTACAATAAGGATGAGATTTCTTACAAAGAGAAAAATATAATATTAATACAAAAGTTAACTTATGGTTTAGTTTTGATCTAGTCTTGTTTTATAAAGGTTGTTTTGATCGTCTACTTACATATGTTTGTATCTTTTGGGTCAAAGTTTGGTATTAAAATTAATTTAACTCGGGTTATAAAATAAAATGGACGAGCGAAATAGTTTTGTTCAGCGTTATAGTTACAAATCCTCTAGTTTATATTTAAAGTAAAATTAAAGTTTAAACAGAACAGAACAGTTGGTTGTGAAAGCATTTAGTAATCAGAAATCCAATTCAAAAGCGAGCGGCGACTGAATTAAAAATGTCGAAGATTTTCAGCTTCCTTTGTGTTGTGCACAAAGGAGGTCGCCTCCTGCCTCCTGCCTGCTGCCTGCTGCCTGCTGCAGCACCCTCTATGATAATGCTGACCTGACACAACTTACTGCTGCTACGTTAAATGTTATTCCATCAGCAAATCGCTGAACAAATATGTCGAAACAAAAATTACTCCTTATCTTGTTTTTTCTCTCAAACATCTTACGAGTTAAAGAAACGTAATATGAATGTTGTGATTTATAAAAAGTTTTGATTAAATAAAATATTATTTTAAAGAAATAACTTTGTTGTATTGAAGATTTTATTATAAACAGAATTGAAAATGAGACGATATCGCACGGCTGACAGCCTAAAAAGAGAATAATTGTTTTTCAATATTTTAATGAAATTAATAAGAAAGGGAAGCTCGGTATAAACTCGTCGGGTTCAATGTTCTGATGTTTGTTAAATCAATTAGTTATTTTAATTGCGTTTGTTTGTAACTTAATTGAAATTTGGTTCTCTGTTTATTAAATTTTAGTCGATGGAATTATTTTTATTGATTTTATATTAAATGAGCTTAACTTTGTTAACGATTTTGCTTTCGACACTACATTTCCTTGTGTCCTGAGATACAACATGAAGACCCAAATAAAATACCTAAATACCTATTGTAAATTAGTTATTAGTGAAGTTTAGTAAAATCCCGAAAGTTCTGCATCACCCCTAGCGTGGAATTATGAAAACTTGAGCAGAGTTTGTAGTACCGACAGTGTCCACTCGCGTGCGTGTGAGGCGGGGAGGGCAGCACTGGCGCTCGCCACGACACCTAACTTTTAATTGGCTGTATAACTTTAGACCAGGGATACGCTCCTAAAGCTTGTTGTTACCACGCGGGGACTTTTCCTTTTGTCCAAACAAATAATTACGTATTTTTGAAGAAAAATAAGTTTTATTTATTATTGAAGAAATACAATTTTCTGTTAAAACTGGTGAAAATTAAAATAATTTAGTTCAGACAACATACCTGTATTTAGTTTTCAGAATTTACTGCTGTCTTCAAAAATGTCGAGCGCAATACCTAAAAGAAAAAATAAATATCAGTTATTTCAACGATGAATGTGTACAATATGTGAAATTGATATCTTTCATAAGATTCGTAATTTGCGTGATATTTCACGCGCTGACAATAATCCATTTCTCGAAAGTCGAACAAACTTTTACAATGATCACTTTTCTTTGTGAAATTTATCTCTTTACAAATGTTCCGGACGCAAACTGAACGAAGTGAACCTCTTCTCCTCTACATACATTAAATCATTTTAATTTTGACTTAGAATTGTTATACTTCTTAATAAGTAATAATTTAAACATTATTTATTGGTTCACCCTTGAGAGTAAACAAATTGAATTTTAATATAAAAACTTTAAAATCTTTACTATAAAACTTTAACTTCAACACGACTTTAGTCTTTGGCCTCATTTAGTATATCTTATTACACATTCTTTAAATTGTTATTTCTTAAGTTATGTTTGTTTTCATTTTTCAACATATTAAACAATACAAAACTTTGTTTATTGTCTTGAACAATGACGTCACCATGAAATGCAATGGAATTTCCCACTTACAAACAATGACACTAAATATAACAACATGTACAATAAATATAATAACAAATCTATTATGTATCAGTATAACATCGCTTCCCACAACATCAAAATAACAATAATTCTTTTGTAAATATATTCTTTTATTTGGGAACATAATATTATAACGCTAATTTTGATTAAAATTTTATAAGGCGCTTATATTCATTTAAGATGCAGAATATGGTGATGTATTTTATTGCGTATTATTTAAAACTTATTCAAACCAAAAGCCACTGTTGATGTCCGTAGAGAATGGTTAAAATAGTGAGAAGACAATTTTGTTCTCCAAAAAGTTTCTACAAGAGCAAAAAAGTCATAATAGTATGACAAACATAAAAAACTTGGAAGGGAATTTCAAAGTCGTGAACAATATCAAAAATGTACATTAACTTTAAGAGGCGTTATTATACTTCAGGCGACAGCTTTAATTATTGTGATTATATAAAATTACAGAAGTCGTTTCGAGCAAAGGCCTATTTAAACATACGCACATGCCTCATTTGCGGCGATCATTACAAACTGAATTAGTACACCCTCGTTTTTGTTTAAATAAACATAATACCACTGATGAGGTCATTAATTTAAAATCTAATTTGTGCGCTCTCTTATTAAATTCATTTGTCACAAACTACACTAAATTATTAATTTAAATCACAAAGTGGCGTTATATAAAGTACTGGCAGTCTCGACAATTATAGCTTTAGAATTTCAGTTTTTGCTGAACTGTGCACATGCCACAAGTAAGGCAAGCAGGCCTAAACAAGCGGACTGGATTGGTGTTTTTTCCGAGTTACTTTTACGTAAATGATTGCTACCATTGAATTACTTTTTGTTTTGTAACGTTTCAAATATAACTAACATTTACATCTATGGTTATATAGAAATGCACTCGTTAGGTTGTGTTAATAATAAGAACGTTAAAACATTTTAGGTAGAGGAATTAATGAATGTACCCGTGACATATACTCGACTCGTTGTATTAAAACGGGAAAGGTTTCTAAAAAACAAACAGCCACTTCCAAAAAGTACTAGAAGCGAGACGGTTGAACTCCCTTCAATGTTAACGACGCTTAGTTCTAACGAGCATTTAACTATGAAAGCACTATGAGCTTTTAATGAACGAAGAAAGTTCACCGGAAACAAAGAATAGTCTGTTAGATGTAAAAGTTTCCAAGTCCGACGAGAAATTTCACTTTGCAACTAATTGAGCGCTAAGTTACGGCTAAGTTACAAGCGCTTTGTCATTTTAAATTCAATTACCAACAAAGACATAATTGACTGAGAATTCATTTGCTTTGAGCGTCCGCCATCTTGAAGATTGATTTGATAAATTTAAAAGCTATACATATTTGTACCTAACTTATAATATCGATAAGGAAGATATTTTCTATGACAAGACAGAATAAAACTTTATCTACAATACAATACAAAAGATTGTTACATGTAGCAGATGGTAACAAAGTAACACGGAGGTTGCACAAAACAGCCTACAGCGTATTTGTGCGTGGTACGAGCTATAAAGATCCGCCCCCGCACCCCCACACTGACCGCGCGCAGTGCAGGCGCGAGCGAGGCTGTGCTGGGACGATGCATCAGAAGTGGCAGATGTCATGAAATAAACAGCGCGTCTCGGGAATTGTAGCCTGAGACAGTCACAGCGCACATAACAAACGCTTTATTACCTTCAAGAATAAAGTACAATTGTAAAATAAATAAATAATATCCCAGTAAAAATTAAGCATTATAATAAGGTTTATGCTAATTCTAATTTATACAACTGATGACATCAAAACTCGCAACAACAAACGATACTCCAAGGTAAAGCCAAGGTAAAGAACACCAACACAGAAAAATGTTAATGACATAGAGCATAAACACATATTTTTAAAACGTATTCTTCGTGGGTCTTGTATTATATTTTTAAATAAACGTTTAAGAAATAACTGAAGAATACTCGTATATATATGGTAGTAAGAGCGAGTTTGTATAAAGATTTCTCAAAACAAGTAATGTTGTCTATCTCCAGCAGAAGGTCATCTCAAGTGAAAATTTTCCGACGGACAAACATTATATGTAACTTTTATTGCTTAAGTTAAATTGCTTTTTCTTTGTAATATCCAGCGTCTGGACCAACTGGAGCGATAACTACGTGATAATTATATTGAGAAGGTCATCGGGGTCGAGAAATTGTATACTTTATACTTTACTTGTATATAAGAGCGTTTAGGTGACGCAACAAGCGGTCCAACCCACTGTATTCAAAATACAAGTATATCTTCACAGCACTGAGGTAAAAGGTATTCCGTCAAAAGATATTATTCGACAGGGGATTGGAACCGACTACAATGAATTATTAAAGCGGCACCTCCTTGCGGCGGGCGGTCGTGTGTTTACTTAAATTGCAGCCAACTTGAAGTAGCATATTAGATTAATGTTCTGTGTCGTGTTTGCAACAGGCAAAGTCATCTACGTTAAGTAAACAAACGTGGAATAAGACGCGAAGCGCATGCAGCTTCAAACATTCAAGTTGCAGTTTGCAGAATGCAGCGTGCAGTTTGCAGCATGCAGTGTGGCCACTCCAGACCTCCTCATCGCAGAAAGCAGTCTCTATTAAATATTTAAAGCATTTTCCAGCTTTTCTTTGTTTCGGTAAGACTCTCGACCCGGTATCGCTCGACATTCGGATGACGCTAACGGTACACATACCTAAAACTAATTTAAAATCTTGTAAAATATGTAAAAGAGTAAGCTCTAAAGTCTCTGTTTTTCTTTGCATTTTGCATTTTTCTTAATATATAAAGTAGAAAAGAATAAAAAAACCTCAGAATAGATTTCCAGATATGCCGTTGCCATATACAGGTCAATATTGTGTTGCCATCTATCTTCCTTGTCAACGACTACCCTGGAACTACTTGTTGCTTTTATTAAATCAAGATGTCAACACCACCACGTGTCCTAAGAAGCTTTATTCGTAGTACAACATAGACTCATTCCTAAGTAGTTTTTCCTCGGCGAGAAGAATGACAAATTAGTTAAATCATATAAGTGTATACTTCTTAACTATTTTATATCCATTATTATAACTTTCTGTCAGATATTATTCAGTGTAAATAAAGAAATAAAAAAGATTTATAGTGATAGTAAAGACATAACAATAAAACGTCAACAGCGACCTCTGACGTACAAATGTTGCAGCGCAGAGATAACCACAATGAAAGAGTAAAAAAAAACTTTTGAAATGTTAGAGAGACCCGCAACAGCCTTCGTTAGTGTGTTTCCGATACAAAAACAAAATACAAATAGGTAGAAAGTTTGCCGAGCGACGGGTGTGCGCGCTGCTGCTGCAGCTATACTCGTTCATGTACACAGTTTGTGCTGGAGATGTTCAATAGTTACGTGAAAAAGCTATTGACTTTTATTCATTTTAAAACCGTTCTCTGCATATGAACTAAGAACTATGCAAGAAAACAAAACTATATCTGTAATTCAGAGGGAAGAGAGGAATTGTTAAAAAAATAATTTACTGAAGCAATAAAATTAAATGAAATGCTCGAATAAGTAATGTGAAAAGTTAACTAAAGCGAGTTCAAACAGGCAACTGGATAAAGTGGAATAATTTTGTTGGCAAAGTCATGAACGGGCGCCGTTGTCTTAAACATTGGACTGTTAATTTAGTTAATTGGCAGCCGAAGTATCGCAGCCCACTCGGCACCACTCGCCACCACTCGGCATCACTTCGCAATCTCCTCGCCGGCTCATTAATTTCCCTTTCTCTTGAATCCAAAATTGTTTAATATCGACAGACTACAGTTTGATATTGAACTTTGATAATGAATAACTCGACTTCTCAGAGCAAAGATCATTCGAGTAGATCGTCTTTATCACAACTATATTATAATTTGGATAACTTGGCGTTAAACATATATTTTACAAACATGTAAAACATACGACTTAGTGACAATATTAATAAACATTTACGCACACAACTACAACCTACGACGACCCTTAAATACGTAAATAAATTATTACGTTGCACATTTCGCAAAAAGCGTTCGCCATGCATTCTTGGCGTCAAAAGTGAGGGGGAAGTTAACGTTGTGTTGGAAGCTAACCGTCTCGTCGGCAGCTGCATCCTACCTTAAATGTCAACAAAGTGTAAAGACATAACGATTTGCGCACTTGATAAGGTCAACGCTTTCTTTTGAACCCTGCACCTTTTTTTAAACTGTCACATGAATATACTAACTGGTCACTCAGAGTTTTGATTTATCCCATTATTGTTTTTAATTCCGCGCGGACAAAGACACGGGCAACTTCTATCTCGTATAAATAAATGTAGTTAAGATGAAGGTATAGATAAAGTGTTATATTTAGCTGTGTTAGGAACGATCATCGATAACAACACAAAAGTACTGCGTAACATTTCCGGTG